CTTTCTTTTTCCTGTTATTTTTTGGTCAGCTGTCAGACTTAGTCTGTGGGGTCCTCCAGGCTTTGATGTTACCAGCTTGCCTCTTGTTGGGGTCATCAGGATATTCTATAGCTTTTTTAATCACAATCCCTTGACTTGCATATACTGACTGATGGTCTTTAGGGCATACTGCTATACTTCATATGAGTTTCACAGTAATCCTATAGGGGCAGGTAGACCAGATATCCCATTTGCAAGTGAAGGATACAGAAATAAACTAACTTACCTAAGCCTGGATGGGAGTGAAATTAAGACTAGGATGCAATGCTATAATCCCAGCATTTAGGGAGGCAGAGGTGAGAGGATTGCCTAAACCCAGGGGTTTGAGACCTGCCTGGACAACTTGGCAAGACCTCGTCCCTACAATAAATCAAAAAATTAGCTGGGTGTGGTGGTGGGCACCTGTAGTTCCAACTACTTGGAAGACTGAGGTGGAAGGATCGCCTGAGCCCAGCAGGTCAAGGATACGGTGAGCTGTGATCATGCCACTGCACTCCAGCCTGGGCGACACAGTGAAACTCCTTCCTCACCTCCCACCGTCACCCCAAAAAAGACTAGGATTCAGGCTACCTAATTCTTAAACAAGTGTTTTTTTCTGTTGTTTTTTATATGAATACAAATTAACTGTCTGTTTGGGGTCACACTAAGATACTTTCTTGTTGATAGTAAGTTTTAATGATTTCACAATTTTTTATTAAAAATATGTTTGTTTAGATTTTTATACGTTGCATTATTATAATTTTGAAAACCATATTGTTAATTTAGTACTTTTATTTACATAATTTCTTATGTATCACAGTTGTGTAATTTATGATTTACCAACTATATTATGTCTGTGGCTTATCATCTTCTAGAATGCAAGCTCCATGGAGGTAGGGCTCCTGGTCAGAGCTGAATCTCAACACCTAGAACAAGGCCTATACATCATAAGCCCTCAAAAGTGTGCTGAATCTATTTTTTATTTAACGCAAATGCATGAATGTAATCTAACACAATTCTAGTGCATTTAATTTTTTTTTTTTTTTTTGCCCATCTCTCCCCAGCCGTCTACTTCCTCTTACTATCACAAAGCCCCATCACACACACCAGGTAATCATGTATCCTTACAGAGCATTCCTATGTTATGCAGACATGTATGTATAATGTGTTTGTGTATATGCACATACATATACACTTTAAAATTTATTCTTATTTTTTTGAGATGGGGTCTTGCTCTATTGCTCAGGCTGGAGTGCAGTGACATGATTATAGCTTACTGCAGTCTCAATCTCCTGAGCTGAAGCAATCCTCCTACTTCAGCCTCCCAAGTAGCTGGGACTCTAGGTGTGCACCACTATGCCTGGTTAATTTTTATATTTTTTGTAGAGAAAGGGTCTTGCTATGTTAGCCAGGCTGGTCTCAAATTCCTGAGCTCAAGCAATCCTCCCATCTTGGCCTCCTCAAAATGCCGGGACTACAGGGGTGAGCCACTGTGCCTAGCCGTTTAAGAGTTTACAAAAATAATCTTTCCAAAATTAAATAATGATGGAATAAACTTTCTCATATACTGGTTTAACGAGTCACCGATTTTGCTACCTTCATGCATAACAGGACAAAAGACAAAGTAGTTCTAAGACTTTTATCGAATGTTAATTTATATCCCATATAGAATCATAGATGTAATTTTAGTTCTGTTGTCCATAAGATCAGTTAGCATGAAAGAACTTTAAAGGTTCAAGTCCACATTCACAAAATATACATTAGAGTTTGAAGTTAGAATGTCTAAAAGAGGTGGCACAAGGACACTAATGTGATTATTAAATATGTAACTTGGTTTTGTGCATTTTTTTTTTTTTTTTGAGTTGGAGTCTCACTCTGTCGCCCAGGCTGGAGTGCAGTGGCATACTCATGGCCACCCCAGCATTGACCTGCTGGGCTCACGTGAACCTTCCACCTCAGCCTTCCAAGTAGCCTGAACTACAGGCACAAGCTACCACGCCCGGCTAATTTTTTTATTTATGGTAGAGACGAGGTCTTGCCAAGTTTCCAGGTTGATCTCGAACCCACGGGCTCAGGCAATCCACTCAGCTCAGCCATCAAGCCCGACAAGTTTTATTTTTATATATGCTTCCCTCTCGTCCCCACACCTCTTAGCACTACCTTCTTTTTTCTTTTCTTTTTTTTTGAGTTGGGGTCTCACTGTGTCGCCCAGACTGGAGTGCAGTGGCTGCTCCTGGCCACCGCAGCCTCGACCTGCTGGGCTCCGGCGATCCTTCCGCCTCAGCCTTCCAAATAGCTGGAATTACAGGCATGCGCTACCACGCCCGGTTGATTTTTTGATTTATTGTAGAGATGAGGTCTCGCTGCCCAGGCGGGTCTCGAACCCGTGGGCTAAGGCAGTCCACTCACTCTAGCTTCCCAAATGCGCGGGATTACAGGCTGAGCCACCGAGCCTGGCAACACTACCTTCTAAATGGCTTTGTTGTTTAGAATGCATCTCCTCTGCACCCCCACAATGCCAGGCTTTTCCTTATCTGTCCAGCTGCTCAACAGAAAGGCATGAGGACATTCTTTTATTTCTAACTTTAAAAAAAGGTGATAAAAGCTCAATACTGAAAAATTGGAAAACAGGGGTAAGCAAATGGAAGCAATCCCCATATTCCCATCACCAGTTAAGATAACTGGTAATCACTGTATTTTAGGGCTTTCCTCTTCCTCACTTCCCCCAAGCTAATTGTTTTATTTTTCCATATTTACAAAAGTAAGAATAACTCGAAGGTGTCTAAAATAATAATTTCCTCTTGTCCCTTTTTCTGTATGCTCTCCTCTCCAAATATCCCAAACTTCACAGGTAACTGCTATTTTTTTTTGAGTCAGAGTCTCACCCTGCTGGACTCAAGCGATCCTCTCACCTCAGCCTTCCAAGAATCTGGAACTACAGGCGTGTGCCACCATGCCTGGCTAATTTTTTGATTTATTGTAGAGACGAGGTCTCGTCGAATTGCCTAGGCTGATTTTGAACCCCTGGGTTCAGGCAATCTTCTCACCTCAGCCTCTCATAGTGCTGGGATTGATTACAAGTATGAACCACGATGCCTGGCCTGGCTAAGTTGTGGATTTTTTGTAGAGACGAGGTCTTGCTACGTGGCCTAGGCTGATTTTGTTGTTTTTAATGCCTCATAGGATACAATGATGAGGATGCAGCACAATTTTTAGGACCAATTTCCTATGAAAGGACATTGTTTACTATCATAAGCACTGTTGTAATAAACATTCTTTGTGTGCCTCTGAACCATTTCTAGGACACTCTTTCAGAAGCAGGAATGCTGGACCCAAGTCTGCTCATACTGACCATTTCAGCAGATCCCCAGGGCTGACGTTTCGCATGGCTGCCTCGGTGCAGCAGATCGGTCATTCCAGTGGGGGCTTCTGACCCAGACTGTGTCGTACCCGTCTGAAATACTGTGCCTCTCACTCCTGGGTGCCAAATTGCCCTCCAAATGGCTGCACAGATTTATACTCACGAACAGGCTGCTTCTCCACCAAGCGCCATTTCCCCTCCCTCAGGCCAGCACTGTGTGTTATCAGGAAGTCCATCTATTTCATAATGATTTTAAACAACACCCTAACTATGTCACATCGGTTGCAAAAGTCCTTTATTACTTATGACTTATATAGACATTTACAATTTCTAGGATCTTTTTGCATAGATTTCTTTTTTTTCTTTCCTTTTTTAAAGCACTGTGAGGTTTTATTAATCATTCAAGTCCAGCAGCATTCTGGTAAGATTGAGACAAAGGCTGGACATAGTGGCTCACACCTATAATCCCAGCACTTGGAAGGCTGAGGTGAGAGGATTGCCTGAGCCCACAGGTTCGAGATCAGCCTGGGCAACTTGGCGAGGCCTCATCTCTACAATAAGTCAAAAAAGTAGGCCAGGCTCGGTGGCTCAGTCTGTAATTCCAGTACTTTGGGAGGACTAGGCGGGTGGATTGCCTGTGCCCACGAGTTTGAGACCCACCCAGGCAACTTGGTGAGACCTTATCTCTACAATAAATCAAAAATTAACCCAGCGTGGTAGCGCACGCCTGTAGTTCCAGCTACTTAGAAGGCTGAGGCGGAAGGATCGCCGGAGCCCAGCAGGTCGAGGTTGCGATGGCCGGGAGCGGCCACGGCACTCCAGTTTGGGTGACAGAGTGAGACTCCAACTCAAAAAAAAAAGTAGCCAGGCGTGGTGGCCTGTGCATGTAGTTCCAGCTCTTTGGAAGGCTGAGGTGGAAGGATTGCCTGAGCCCAGCAAATTGAGGATATGGTGACTGTGAGCATGTGCCACTGCACTCCAGTCTGAGTGACAGAGTAAGACTCCAATTAAAAACAAAAACAAAAACAAAAAACCCACAAACAAACAAACAAAAGATTGTTTGTTTGTGAACATATATTCAGCATCTAACAACTCAAAAGAAACCGCTACATACTCTTTTCACAAATGTTTTTACAGAGCCAACACAGTACTAGCTACAAATCTGGATACTAAGTATATTGAAGTAGAAAAGATACAACAAGAAAAACAGCATATTAGAAGGACCAACACTTTAGAAAGGAATTTTAAAAAAAAACCACTTTCAGTTTTTCCCCTTCAGTCCCTAAAACAACATCTTTTGTTGTTGTTGCTGTTGTTGTTGTTTTTAAGGTGGAGTCTCACTCTGTTGCCCAGGCTAGAGTGCAAGTGGGATGCTCACAGCCACTGCAGCCTCAACCTACAGAGCTCAGGTGATCCTTCCACCTCAGCCTTTCAAGTAGCTGGAACCACAAGTGTGCGCCACCACGCCTAGCTAATTTTTTATTTTATTTTATTGTAGAGACAAGGTCTCACCATGTTGCCCAGGCCAGTCTTGACCCCTTGGGCTCAGGCAATCCTCTCACCTCTGCCTCCTAAAGTGCTGGGATTATAGGCATGAGCCACCACGCCCAGCTAAAACAACATCTTAGTCTGGATCTGCCTCTCCAGTTCTACATCCACTTCTAGAATATTTGTCAGGAGGCCAAAAAATAAAATGACACTGGCTAGTACAGTCTTTGGACATTTAGGAAGGGGAAGGGAAGAAAGTCAGTTCTCAGAACACCGTAGTCAGCTTCAGTCTTCTCAGCAGCATCTTTGGATTCTTGGTTCTTCCTCATGTCTTCAGTGTGCTTATTCTTCTCTCGCAAATGCTCCAGTTTGGTAGCCATTTGTGCCTCTCGGTTGTTGGCTTCCATTTTGTGGATCAGTTTCTCCTCTGCCATTTTACTGAAGTTGTTGTTTTCCTGTATTGCTTTCTGAAACACTTCTTTCTCATGCTCTTGTTTCTCAGCAAGCTGCTTCAAGACCTCGGCTTCATGGGACTTGCGTCTTTCTTCTGCAGCTGCAGATTTCTTCTGAATTTCTTCCAGGAAAAGACCCTTCTTCATTGGAGAGGAAAGAGGGAATTCTGGAATGGATTCTTTTGACTGAGGTCTGAGAATCAGCTCAAAAGCCCCGCCTGAGGCACGCTTCTCCAGTTCTCTCACCTGGATGTCAGAAGAAGCCCTGGTGAACAGAAGAGACTGGCAGTGCACCCTTCACAGTCCACTGGGAGAAGGAAAGCCCTGCTTGGTCTGAGCCACCTGACTACACTCCTGCCACATAGATTACTTATTTCAATGTAGCTCAGTCTGTTAATATTGTCTTTTATATAGTCTGAGTTTAGAATCATGCCTAGATTGAAGTTCCCCACATCAAAACTATTAAACTAATTGTGTGTGTGTGTGTGTGTGTGTGTGTGTGTATGTATATATTTAACTTTTTTAGAGACAGAGTCTTACTCTGTCACCCAGGCTGGGTGCTGTGATATGGTTATAGCTCACTGCCTCAAACTCCTGGGCTCAAGTGATTCTCCTGCCTCAGCCTCCCAAGTAGCTAGGATTATAGACATGCCTCACCATACCCAGCTAATTTTTTTTTTTTTTTTTTTTTTTGGAGTTGGAGTCTCACTCTGTCACCCAGGCTGGAATGCAGTGGCACACTCACGGCCACCGCAGCCTCTGCCTGCTGGGTTCAGGTGATCCTTCTACCTCAGCCTTCCAAGTAGCTGGAACTACAGGTACACACCACCATGCCCAGCTAATTTTTTGGTTTATTGTAGAGACGAGGTCTCATCATGTTGCCCAGGCAAGTCTCGAACCTGCGGGCTCAGCAATCCTCTCACCTCAGCCTTCCAAAGTGCTAGGATTATAGGCGTGAGCCACCGTGCCCAGCCCAGCTAATTTAAAAAAAAATTGTAGTGTCTCATTATGTTGTTTAGGCTGGATCTCTAACTTCTGGCCTCAAGTGATCCTCCCACCTGGGCATCCGAAAGTGCTGAGCTTACAGATATGAGTCACTGCACTTGACCAATATATGAGGGGTGCCAAAAAAAAAAGTAGACACATTTTAAGAGAAGTTATCTATGTAGTACTTTTTGAAGTTGAATTGAAATACAATAGCAATGTGTAGTATGACGTTGTCTCAAAAGATGGCGTTAATCAAATGAATGCTAGCATCACCGTGTGGCAGGCAGGACAGTCAAAGAAAACGGTGGAAGCACAGTGGTCGTCTGAGGAGTCCAAGACCATTTTGAAGTGGTATTTGAAATACAAGACCGTTGTGGAAGTACAATTACAATGCGGGTGTGAGTATACAACAGAACCTTCAACACACCTAACAATTGCACACTCAGTCGTGATTTGAGACACATGGTACTATGTGTGACTATGTGTGACATAGGAAGAACCTGGGCGTACTTACACAGAAACAAGTCCTGCAGTAGCTCGCCATAACCAGAAGTGTCTGGACGCTGATGGTAACCACTTTGAGCATTTCTTGTAAATGCAGAAGTCAAATGTGACTTGTATTTATCTTTTATTATCAGTATATATTGAATATTACAATTTTAATACAGTTTTTTTCCTTTCTTAATATGTGTATCCATTTTTTTTGGCACCCTCTATTTTTTTAAGGTTTGATTTACATTTACATCTGTAATCCACCTCAAATTTACTTACTAGCTCAATTTTTATATAATGTACATATACAACTCACCCTTTAAAAGATGTTCAAGGACATGTTTTTTACTATATATATATATTTTGTTTTGTTTTGTTTTTTGTGTGTTTTTTTTTGTTTTTTGACTTGGAGTCTCACTCTGTCGCCCAGGCTGGAATGCAGTGGCACACTCACAGCCACAGCAGTCTTGACCTGCGGGGCACAGGTGATCCTTCCGCCTCAGCCTTCCAAGTAGCTGGAACTACAGGCATGTGCTACCACGCCCATCTAATTTTTTGATTTATTGTAGAGATGAACCCGCGGGCTCAAGCAGTCCACTCACCTCAGCCTCCAAAGGCGTGGGATTACAGGCTGAGCCACGGAGCCTGGCTTGTTTTTTACTATATATATATATATATATTTTTTTTTTTTTTTTTTTTGAGTTGGAGTCTCACTCTGTCGCCAGACTGGAGTGCAGTGGCCACTCCCGGCCACCGCAGCCTCAACCTGCTGGGCTCCAGCGATCCTTCCTTCTCAGCCTTCCGAGTAGCCGGAATTACAGGCATGTGCTACCACGCCCGGCTGATTTTTTGATTTATTGTAGAGATGAGGTCTCGCTGCCCAGGCGGGTCTTGAACCCGCGGGCTCAGGCAATCCACTCACCTCAGTCTCCCAAAGGCGCGGGATTACAGGCTGAGCCACCGAGCCCGGCTTGTTTTTTACTATATTAATAGGGTTGTACAACCATCACTACATTCTAATTTCAGAACACTTTCATGTCCCCTTAAAGAAACATTGTCGCCATTAACAGTTACTCCTTAATCTACCCCTTACATCTCCTTGCAACCACTAGTCTACCTTTATTTTATTTTATTTTTCTTTAAGAGATGAGGTCTTACCATGCTGTCCAGGCTGAACTCCAACTCCTAGGCTCTGGCAATCCTCTCGCCTCAGCCTCCCAATGTGCTGGGATTTCAAGCGTGAGCCACCGAGCCCAGTTTACTTTCAGTCTCTATAGCTTTGCCTATTATATTTTGTATAATGGTTTCATACAATATGTGGGGTGTTTTTTTTTTTTTGGACTGGCTTCTATCATTTAGTTAAATATTTTCAAGTTTCATTCATGTTGTAGCATTTATCGGTACCTCATTATTTTTTGTTGAATAATATTCCATCGTATGGATAACTTACAATTTGGTTATCTGTTCGTCACTTTGATAGACATTTGGATTGTTTTGACTTTTTAGGTATTATGAATGATCTTGGCACATGCCTGTAGTCCCAGCTACTTGAGAGGCTGAGGCAGAAGGATTGCCTGCCCAGGAGGTTGAGGTTGCGGTGAACTATGGTGGTGCCACTATACTCTAGCCTTGGTGACAGAGTGAGACCCTGACTCAGAAAAAGAAAAAAAAAAGAATGATGCTATGTATACTGGCATACAATTCTTATTTGGATATATGTTTTTAATTTTAGTGTAGACCTAGGACTGTAATTTTATGTTTAATTTTTGAGGAATTGCCAAAATGTCTTCCACAGTGGCTACACCACTGTACATTCCCATCAGCAACATATGAGGGTCCCAGTTTCGCTACTTCCTATCAACGCTTGTTAGTGCCCGTCTACTTAATTATAGCCATCCCAGTGGTTGTGAAGTAGTATTGTGGTTTTGATTTCTACATCCCTAGTGACGACTAATGATCTTAAGAGCTTTTGAGCTTATTGACCATTTGTGTATGTATCTATTTTTAGAAACAGGGTGTCACTGTGTGTGATCCTAGCACACCGCAGTCTCAATTTCCTGGGCTCAGGCAATCCTCCTGCCTCAACCTCATGAGTAGCTGGAACTATAGGCATGCACTACCATGTCCAGTTGCCATGTGTATATCTATTTTTTTTTTTTTAGTTGGAGTTTCACTCTGTTGCCCAGGCTAGAGTGCAGTGGCACACTCACACTCACAGCCACCACAGCCTTGACCTGCTGGGCTTAGGTGATCCTTCCACCTCAGTCTTCCAAGTAGCTGGAACCGTAGGTGTGCACTACTGTGCCCAGCTTATTTATTTATTTGTTGTAGAGATGAGAGCTAACCATGTTGCCCAGGCTGGTCTTGAAGCCCTGGACTCAGGCAATCCTCTTGCCTCTGTCTCCCAAGTGCTGGGAGACACCATGCCTGGCCTTTGTGGGAAGTTTTAAAATCAGTGACTGATGATCAGATTTATTTTTGTGTATAATGTTAAGGTGGAACTCTAACTTAATTTTTTCCTAAACAGCCAATTGTTCTAACACCATTTACTCGACAATCTACCTGTTCCTACTAATTTTATTTTTATTTTTGTAGAGATGAGGTTTCACCAAGTTGCCCAGGTGGGTCTTGAACCCGCGGGCTCAGGCAATTCACTCACCTTGGCCTCCCAAGGCGCGTGATTACAGGCTAAGTCACCGAGTCCGGCTCCTACTAATTTTAAATGCCACAGAAACTTTAGACGTTTTTGGATCTTGATTGCAACTTTCCTCCCGATAGGGCATAAAGTGAATTTGCTTGGCAAAGGCTGGAATGTTGGAGCCTAGAGGAGTTCTTTGTCCTGTTAGCATGTGAGGTTGGAAAACAGAAGGGACAGAATGTGGATCATGGCTTTCCTGCCATGACAGTCGATGTGTGGGTGTGTCTTCCCCCTAATGCTTTGCCCCCTAGGCTGAGAGCACAGCCCTTGGACACCTGCCTGTCCACACAGTAGCCAAGATCTGAGCCAGGCCAGAGGTCACTCTGCTCTGCGGGCCTGGATCCCTGCCTCTGGTGACTCTCTGGACTTTGGAGTCCACTTGCCCTACTGGGCCTACCCATCTTTCCTGCCCCTCCCCTCTCAGACCTTGGACTTGGCCTTCTGACACATATCACAATGTCCTCCCCTCCCCCACCCTTGGGAACAGAAAGTCCCGGACGCTGCTTTATTCCGGATCCAGGGCACTGACTATACTAATTAGCATCTTGTCACCCTCCGTGCAGGCTTCTACCTATCCCTGAACAGCTCATTCTGACCCACCCTGCGACGGCTCATGACTCAGTCTGAACACGTCTCACTCAGCTGTGATACCCGGAGACGTGACTCTCTGCTTGATTCTGTAGCATGCCCCCTCCCCTGACACTGTCATACATAAGAGATGCATATGAAGACGGGAGGTGCTGAAGAGGGGCATGATTCACTGTGCTCAACCTTCCAGCATCATCTCTTACCATTTCCACACACTCACCCCAGGCTTCAGCCATACTGGACTACTTGCATGAACAGATGCCCCCTTCTCTCCTGTTCCTGTGCGGTTCCTACCGCCTGGTACCCTTTCTTCTTCTCCAACTCCCAGATGTCCTTCCTGACTAGCTCAAGTGCCACCTCCTCCAGGAAGCCCTCCCTGAACCCTCAGGTTGGGTGGTTCTTTCTCTCTTCCTATAGCATCCTGTGTTGGTATAAGGTACATTTTCCCCTGGAGGCATGTCTTGTCCATCTCTGTTCTTCCATTCTGTGTCCGCGGGCTGCCTCCCTATTTCCCACACATGCAGTGAATCAAGCCTTGGTAGTAAAGGTGGGGGTGCATCCTGCTTCCTTCAGACTAGATGTG